AAGAAATAATTAATTTTGTGTTAATTATTTTAGATCTCGTCATATTTTTTAAAATTAATCATATCAAATTAACATGTTAAACTGACAGCCCTAATTCTCACGCACCTAGTTAGAGCTAATTTTCTAATTCCACTTCTCCGCTTCTGTGTTGTCTCTCAATCACCCGTCGTTTCGAGACTCTCATTCAACACTTCTCAATCACGCATGCATATTTCAGCACTTGAGTGCGCCTCCATCAGCGCTTTTTCCATGTGCTTCTGAATGCATTTCAACATCTAACGTCTTCTCGGTTATTTTGATGTGTTGCACCAAAAGAGCATTTTTAGTCTGTAATGATGTGGAATATTTTTAAACTCTGACACAAAGTGTATTAAAGGCAAATTCAGAAACACAGAAACTGCAAATAATTCACTCTCCTGATCTCTGAGCATCATCTGAGCTGTTCATTTGAATTCTACAACATTACCTTGCTTGTACTTAACATGTCTCCAAGGTTAACATTTTTAATTCAAGACTGAGGGATTCCACAGAGCTGTTCCTTTGAAGTTTCCCGTTTCTTGTGGCTGCAAGGCCGCTGAAAGCCAGTATATGATATTGACATGAAAACTCAACACAGAATGATGCCAACTGAAATTTCATATTCCTTCCTTTGGGAAAGAGTATGGCCTGGCCAATCCAGTGTGACATGAATAATGAAGCATCACCATCTCACTTTTTCTTTTTTCCTCTCTACTCTCGCCCTTTATTCTATATTCAGGGTGGAACTCTTTTGTTGCTCCCTGGTGCGCCATGAGACTGAGGTGAGTGTATTAAAGATGTAAAGGCTAAGGGGAAACATGCGTTTTTTGTGTGGACCTGGGCATAATAGGTCAACGTTTGACAATTAAGAAGAAAGTTCCTATACTTTAGGGCAGGTGTTTTCAACTGGTTTTGCCTCAGGACCCAGATTTTACATTGGAAGTGATGATCCATTCGACACACAACGACACCACAACAATGTACTAAAACAGAAAAGTTTTTCCTTTTTGTTTTTGAAAATTCCACGCACAGAGGACAACATTGTCAAAACTATCCCTGTTCACACGGATCCGTGAAAATGACTATAAGCGCTGTATTATGCTGACCGGCCAGTAGTTGGCGATGTCACTTAGTAAAGAAACACTAGGCGCAGTGCAAAAACAAAAAATCCTCCGATGACGCAAAATGACGATTTGTCTCAGGGGGATATGAGGGTGGAAAGCATGGCAATTCGAAAATACTACAGGTTTTCTACTAATACAAAGCTTAATGCTAAATCCTGAAGTATCCTTATGGAGAGGACGGGGTTTATGACCTATACTGCAGTCAGCCTCCAGAGGGCAGTGAAAATGCTTTGGCTGGCATGTTTTGATGGTTAGTTAATCTGTTCTTAGGCATGGCACACTGAATCGGAAAACTTGATTGGCAACCAATGATTTTGCAATTCTGTTTGGTGCCAAATCCCAAAAGCAAATTCCTAACAACTTCCGCTAATTCTACATGTGTTCTTCGGTGATTACTTTTTTTTATTAACATCAGTATCATTTCATTCACATCCCACAACTCATCCCAAATCATGCATCAGCTCCAGCGCATCACCTGCATCCCTTCTCTTTGTATCAGTGTCTCATGCTCGCATCCCAAAAGGTTAATAACCTGCTGAAATGTCAAGGGCACGTCCTGGAAGTGTCAGAGGCCTTGCGTGCTGGGCAAGCCAATGCATGGCTGGAGTATTGGGATTTGATTTAAATAAATGCAAGTGACCTCAAATAGCCACACTGGTTTACTCCAGCTTCACGAGCTCTGATGGTTGATAAGACAGTTTTCTCTTAGTTTACTGAAAAGGAATGGTATATGTTTGTATATTTGTCAAATGATAATCTGATTCTATTCTATTCTATAATTTCATATTGTAGCCTATATTTAAAATCATTCCTCCAGTCAGTGTCACATGACCCCTCAGAAATCATTCCAATAGATTAATTCTGGGCCCAAGAAACATTTCTTATTATTATCAATGCTGAAAAAAATTGTGCTGCTTAAAGGGATAGTTCACTTTGAAATTAATTTTGGGATGTTTTAGCTTACCTCAAGGGCATCCAAGATGTAGGTGTCTTTGTTGGTCAAACTGGTCAAACCGCCAGGTTCTGTTTTTTCCTCATGTAATCACAGCCACATCCAAGTGATCTGAGGGTGCGGGCGCTTCTGTCTGTGCAAGTGCCAGAAGTGATCTCTCGCGCGTGTACGTCACTCATTGTTTACACAGAAATTCTGGAAGCGTTACCTTTCACTGTGAAGATCTAAACATATTTAGATCTACAGGAAATCGCAATGGAAGACGGAACAGACAACGTTGAATTTTTTTTCAACTGCGCGATAGATCACTTCCGGCGCTTGCACAGAGAGAAGCGGCAATGCCTTCAGATCACTTGGACGTGGCTGGTTACAAGAGGTAAAAACGATATAAATACTGTTCGTTTTCTCACACAAACCGCTCGTTTCGTGTCTTTTACATTTACGAGTCATTAAATCATGTTTAATCTGGACTTGCTCTTTGAGGTGGTGACCATACTTATATGACTGACAGACAAGAACGGTTTGACCTAAAAATATCAAAATTGAACCTTTGGTCAAATGCTGAATTTCTAAAACACAACAAAATCTTACTGACCCCATACTTTTAAATGGTAGATTGTACATTATATATTTTTCATCATGGTCCAGACCTGCTAATACGATAATAACAGCAAACCTCTTGTTTTAATGCACCTTTATGTGTTGCGTGTGTCTTTGCTGGCATGTCAGTTAGGTTCTACTGTGCTTCATAGCTTCCTTCATCGGTGTCTCACTGGCTCATCAGCTTTTTCTGTACCAACCGGAGACCTGAGCAGGTTAATGATGTCATTCATCATCCACAGGTCTGGTCTGCACAGGTCTGGTCTGGCATGTATTTAGGCTCCAGGCTGCTTTCCACACTGAATTCTCCACATATTCTGCAAAATATTATTCTATCTATCTATCTATCTATCTATCTATCTATCTATCTATCTATCTATCTACTATCTATCTACTATCTATCCATCTATCCATCTATCCTCCCTCTGCAGTGATACCGAAATTTGGTGCTTTTCTGCATTTGGAGAGTCAATTTGTCTGTGTGAGGGCACTCATTACAATGTGTGACTCACTTCACTGTTCCTGCTCCTAATTCCCAGCGGTTGTCCAGCCGAGAATTGTTCTCTCGCAACATGCACAATCTCACAATTAACTGCCTAAAACCAAACAAAACCTCTGAAGTGCAGAGTGTGGGTCACACACACACACTAGCAAATACACACCCAGACTGTAATATGTCTTCCACTGGCAATCCTTAATTACAAAGAGCAATTAAAAATACATTTCACGACTGGCAGACAGCACCTAATTCATCACTGGCATGAAATCCACTATCAGGAGATTCGTTGATTAGTTATCCTGCCTTTTCCTCTTTACCATGCTAATAAAGTACCATGAACAACTCGTATTCTGTGTCAGGAGAACCATGAGGAAAGAAATTGTGTTTGTACTTCATGTGAGACCTCACTCAGTCTCCTAAGAATCCATATCAGAATTCAGACAGGAATAACCTCTCCTTAGCATGTGTGTCAGGTATTAGATGATAAAATCAAAACATCCGCATGTTTATTAATGAATGTGAGCTAGTCCACTGGGTCAGCGATATGATTTATGGGCTCTAATATTCACTAACAATGAAATTTGTAATATCAAATCTGGTGTTGAAGCGAATGCAATCAGCCAACAATCCTTTCTAATATGAACAAACTTGAAGCGTATCTCAACTAAATGATTGCATCATAAATTCACTCTGCACTGCGGATTCACTAAAGAGTTTTGAGCATGATTTTAAGCACAAAACCTCTGTTTTATTCACTAACCTGCAATTCACTTTAATCAGGTGCCGCCTGACTGGTATGATGCTACGTAATGCATATTTAAATTAAGTAATTGTCATTCTTTACATTTCTCGAACACGCTTCCTTTATATGCAAATAAGGTTTATTATAGATTACGCCCTTATTCATAAAAGTCATGAACGTTGTAGTCGAGCACACTTTCTGCATTTTAAAGAGTCGATTCAGATGCCTGTGCACATTTCTGCGACTTGATTTACATAATTTCTTTAGTGAACTGGGTGCTAAAACAGCTAAAAATACTTTATCAGCGAGCAAACTATTTTTAGTGAATTCTCCTCATATTGTCTTAAAGGTGTACCTGCATATAACCTTCACGTGAGGCATTGATTGACTGAACGTTTGAGTCTATCAGTGTTAGAGGAATTGATGTCTTAACCGAGATAAACGCAGATGATAGCGGGTGATCGATAGTTTTTCCAGTCTCAATCCCAAAGACTGAAGGACGAGAAATTAATCAGTGAGGCGATTACAGGCGTCCCTCTTAACTATCAAACATTAATCATATTAATGTCTGAGTATTTGGTGACAAAGAAAGGCCATCAATTGTGACAAATCAATGCATTGAATTAGATGCCTGACTAGCAAAATTACTAGCTTGCTATACCGCTATTAGACTCGGTTTTGATTGTTTGTTGTTGTGACCTTTGATTAGCTTCAGTTCCTTTCATTTTCACCGACTGGCATTTGTATTGATCAGTGTATGAGTTCTTTTTTTATCACTGGATGGATGTTCCTTTAACTATGGATGCTTTTGGCACTGTAAATTTTTAAAAGGTAAAAGAGTTTTCATATTCTCACTAGTTTATCTGTCTAGCAATTTCATATTGCAAGTCCCCTAAAAATTGTATCCATTAAAAATCATTTTTAATCACCAAAATTACTTATTTATTTATTTAATCCTGTGAAAAAAAGCATATTCATGTCATGAATGTAACTCTACACCCTTGCTTCATTTAGCATACGCGGATTCATGAATATGCAAATTAGCCCCGCCTCCACTCACACGCACACCAGCTCAGAGAGCTACGCGGTCACCTTTACTGTAGTAAACGCTGCACAATAATATCGCTCTTTACAACGTCGGACACATGGTAAGTAATAAGATAGCTTTTTGCTTGACTAAGTTATCTCAAACTGCTAATAATTTGTTTCAAATGTTACACAAACCAAGTCCCGTTCGCCATCTCAGTTTGACTTCTAAAAATAGCATAGAAGAAACTCTGAGCAACTTAGAACGTCAGTGGAGATCGGCATATAGTTCATCATAAACATCATGATGATATAGATCCTATACTTAATTCACCCGCTATATAGCTAAATGTTCATGATTTTGTATATCAGCCGAAAAATATTGAGACTCCCCTGCTTCAGAGATGCTAAAGCCCACCATAGGCTTTTTGCCGAGCGTCACGTGACCAAACCGGAAAACAGGTCTCATCGCATCCGCTTGTCAGAGAACGTGTTAACGGCCGTAAGAACAACTGACTACGATATCTATGGATTTTTAAGGTAATCAGCTAACCTACCTAGTTCACTTTGTTATTGCCGTTTTATTCCATATAAATATCTAAACGTTACTGTGAAGAAGAAAAAATATAAAACGTTTTTATGTCAATCTGCACATGTGAGGGACATTGGTTATGCTAATCTTTGCTCGCTCCTTTTCATAGACATATACACTAGACCTCACCTGGGGGTTCTAAGCATGCGTCAAAACCGCCGCCATCTTGGAACAGGGGTCTTGTCATAGGAAATAGCTAGGTAACGCTGCTATCTCTGCCTTTACTTCGAATTCATTGATGGTGGCGGACTTTTGTGCAGCGTATGAAGTTCACGGATGAAATCTGAACTAGGAAGAATGTTTAAAAAAAAAAAAAAAAATTAAAAAATTTTTTTCTTTCTGGAATCAATGATAAATACATGTCTGACCGTTGGAACAAACCAAAAAAACAAGAAAAATCGCATTCATGATGATTTATGGTGATTTTATTTGCGTTAGACCTGTGTCTACTACATTGACGCTGATGCATTAAAGTGGAGGGGCTCCCCTGTTTCAAGATGGCGGCTCTATTGACTCATTCGTTCTAATGAACTGCCGTATCCAAGGTGAGGTCTAGTGTATATATCTATGGCTCCTTTTAAGTTATCTTGAGTAAAACCGCAAAAAATGTCATGAAGCACATACAAAAGACCTGGACCGGAAGCGATGCGACCTGTTTTACAGAATGCAGAAGTAAGTTGTGCATAGAGCCTATTGATGTGATTGGGTTCAAGTTTGTGACGTAAGAAACACCAGCTATTTCAAATCGCGTTTTTGAGACTGTCTTTGGTTCATTGGAGATTAAAAGAGAAAATACTCAGCATGTTGACTTATGAATTTGCACATGGTTTGTGTTAAAGCATACAACTTGATTTTCACCACAGGCGGTCTTTAAATCTATTTGTCTGAATAAAAATCAACTCATGGGAGAAAAAGTGCTTGTAGTTGAAAACAAAAAACTCCCAAGGTATTCTAACTTTGGGCTTGTAAGGACACTTACCAAAGCACAGCTATTTCATTCTGAACGTCCAGGGTCACCATCCCGAACTCATGTTCAGGCCCAGTCGTCTTCATTCATTACATGCTGCTCAATACACACGCGGATCAATATCCAATCCAGCCCACATCGTCTCCTCCCGCTAACCATCGACGACATACACATTCGCTCAGCCTGAACACGGTCACCCCTCATTTGCATGTGCTGTAGGAGTCTCTGCGCCGATTCTTTAAGACGGAGTATTTTATGACGAAGTGCCAAGAGCACGTCTCATATTGCATTGGTGCTTTAATAATGAGCTTATCATTGCTTCTTCGAATGACTGTACATAATAATAGGATTATAGGTCATAAAAGCTAGTAATTAAAGGAGAATCTCTCTCCCCCTCATCACTTACTCTCTCTTGCATGTACTTCCCTCCCTATCTCTTCATAAGGAAGACGATTATCTACATCCTCTTTCTGTTCATTATACTTTGTACAATAAATAGTCAATAAATCATCAGGTGCAGGTAGCTAATTATTACACTGTGTTTAATAAGCTTTTGGGGATTTATTAATTGATGTATAATTACTTGTGAGTTATTGGTGTCTAGGAACAGCCTCTCTTTAATTACGGCCAGATGGAGCTCACGGAGTATTGGATACATGGAGGGAGACTCTCAACCGAGGATTCATGAAGAACGATCCTTCACTGAGAAATCAAATAGAAATTACTTAGCATTTCAGCTATGGAAGAGAAGTCAAGGTAGGGTCAATTCTAATGCCAACTGTGAAGTTGAGTCAATGTGGTTGAGAATATATGTGAAATTACTCATCCAGCTAAACCCTTGATGCATCAGAACAAGTCAAGTGCTTGTTGAAATAATATTATACTTCACTGTATCGTGCCTTAGCTTAACCATTGCAATTGGCCAATCAGAACATGATTTTGGACCAATGAGGTTTCTCTAGCTGAGGCTAAATGATGTGGAGTCGCTGAAGTTTAGGATAAATACTCAATAGAAGAGATCACTGCTGGTGTATTGTGTTGGTGTTATTGTTAGCTGAAAGCATTACCCATACTTGATACATATCTAGTTCAGTCATGGAACTCTAGAGGGCACAGGAAATAAAAAATCCTGTTATTTTTGCAATGAAATCTGAAAAAAAGTAATTTATGCAAACACAAAACACCATCATGGTAACAAATGACACTAAAATAATGCAATAAATAACATAAAACCCAAATGTGCATAACTGATTAAAATCACTAAGAAACATAATTGTTTATATTAAATATTTTTAAATGTGGCATGTCACTCTGGGAATGCTAGTTTACAGTTTTTCACTGTCAATTATTATTTTTTTATCTTAAAAACGTTGCATTTGTAAAAGATGTAAAAATTACTGTAAAAATGACGCAAAGTGTCCAGAAATGTCCGATCTTTAACCGTTTTTCCCTGTAATAGTATATGCAAACTTACCTGAACTTTCTATTGACAGTTTTTTCTGTACCATTTTTACAGTATTTTACAGTTAAAATTACACAAATGTTTTACACTGTTCCTTTGTAAATATTTTTAGAATTAATGATTGCCATAATTGTTTGCCGTTAAAATAAATAGTAGTATTATATTGTTTTTTCTTCCTAATACATTTTTAGTCCACTGTATTTAAAAAAATGCAATATTTAATTAGTCTATTATTAATTTGCGCTAAATTAAATTCTTAACAATAATTACCGTTATTTTATTTCTGTGTGTGAATAACATGCATAGAAAATACAATTAAAATTTAATTATAGTTCTTACACCCATCATTTTTTTACTGTCATAGGAGTATCACTTTGTTATTCTTAGCTATTATGAAACAGAAAATAGCTTTTTTTTTCACATTTCAGAATAAAATGGACAAAGGACCTAGATCATCAAATTTTCAAAACTTTCAGAATCGTGAAAATCGTTTTTGTATTCTGAAAGTCTTTTGGAAAGATGTTTTGTATGTAATTAAAGGAGCTGTATGCAAGACATTTATTTCAATTAATCATAAATGTTCCCTGATATGTCACTGGACATTAAGAAATCATGTTAATTTCAAATACTTATATCACTGACAAGTAGTCCGGCCAGGATATTGTCATTTAAAAAGTAAAGTCACAGCCCTTTACTGATGTTGATATTGTCAAGTTGTGTTTTGTTCTGATGCGTCACCCTCCACCGATCTACCAATCACGGATTCAGTAGTGTTGCGGCATTCGGGTTGCCAGCTCTTCTCTAATTACCACAGCTGCAGATACAAACGTGTCTGAATCGGATAAAAAAATTTCTAACGTTGCGAAACCCCAAAAAGCTCGATATGAATCCGAAATACTTTGTTACAAACTCCGAAATAAATAATTAACAGAAAAAAACTCACTGTGTAGGACTCGTCACTTGTAATTGGAAGCTTCTTGTAGCAGCCTACTTTCCTGCTGGAACGTGCAGCATATCTGGCAACCTCGAGTCAAGGGGAAATGGGGAGATACACCCTGATTTGAAAGTGATTGCAGTACCAGTTTTGGCCACAATCTTGCAGCTCCTTTAAACAAAAGTGCAATCAATTGTACTTCTAACCCTCAAAGCTTTGTTTTCACTCCTGTCAAAACCCTGACTAAGGTCTATGATATGCTGTCACATACCACTCCGTATTTGATTCGACTAAATAACAAGCGCTCAGCCTTTACTGACACTAACAAACTTGTTCCACAAACTGCAACTTAACCGCCCGTTACCAGCTTCCCAAACCACTGAGAGACAATGCCATCATTCAGTTTCTTATCGACGTGTGCTCTTAACCACTAATTCAAAACATGACTGGTTGCACTTCGAGATCGCCCGCATGGATTGTTCCTCATAGTTCTTGTTCTGTCAGACCCAACAGTGTAACGAATTGTGAAGAGCTGCATGTTTGTATTGTTTAATTGCCCCGGCTGATGCTTGTCTCGAAGACGAACAGTCAGCCATCCATTTCTCCTCAAAATGTCTTGAGTAGAGCACAGCCACGAGGCAGTTATTACGCAAGCTCAGGGAGGAGGGCCCGGAGCCGAGCTAAGGCTATTAATCAAAGGCCTGAGAGACCAGCATGCTGCTTCACTCGTCTCTCTCTCTCACACGCACTCTCTCTTTCTAAAGCAGATAAACCTGCGGTTCCCTGAGCTGCACTCATTCATCTTCATCCAACCATTTCTGTTATGAGCGCATTAAAAGCTTCATTGTCCTGAAATTAATTTTGATACAAAGACTCACTCCACCAAGGAAAGGTTTGTGTAGCAGCAACAAAACCAAGTGAAAGACACCTGGGATCTTAATGAATCTGCTGTGTGCTGCACAAATTCATATTAAGATGATCCTTTTAGTGTGGGGATTCAACGAGCAATTGCTTTGTGATATGTTACTGAAATGTATTTGTTTTGGTTAGTTTAGACTTTGAATTAAAAGTAAATAAAGCCTCCAAAAAGCGAGAAGAACATTTTGTACAACGATTTTCTAAAACTGTGCCAGTGTTTTTATGTAAATATAATCTTTACATGTGAATTTTTTTCTTTTTCTTTAAAGGGACAGTTCATTTTGAAATTAATTTTTGGTATGTTTTAGTTTACCTCGAGGGCATCCAAGATGTAGGTGTCTTTGTTTCTGCAGTAGTTTCAATTTTGACATTTTTAGGTCAAACCGTTCTCGTCTATCAGTCATATAATGGAGGTCTATGGTCACCACCTCAAAGAGCATGCACAGAGAAGTCCAAATTAAACATGATTTAATGACTCGTAAATGTAAGAACACAATGATGGCCTAAGACACGAAATGAGCGATTTGTGTGAGAAAACGAACAGTATTTATATCGTTTCTACCTCTTGTAATCACAGCCACAAAGCGCCCGCGCCCTCAGATCACTTGGACGTGGCTGTGGTTACAAGAGTTTTACTGTGGTAAAAACTATATAAATACTGTTCGTTTTCTCACACAAACTGCTCGTTTCGTGTCTTAGGCCATCAATGTGTACTTACATTTACGAGTCATTGAATCATGTTTAATTTGGACTACTCTGTGCATGCTTTTTGAGGTGGTGACCATAGACCTCCATTATATGACTGACAGTCAATAACGGTTTGACCTAAAACTGAAAATAGTGCGGAAACAAAGACACCTACATCTTGGATGCCCTTGAGGTAAGCTAAAACATACCAAAAAATAATTTCAAAGTGAACTATCCCTTTAAATAAAGCCTGAAGTTACTGGAAATATATTAAAGATATTTTCATATTTTATTATACAACATAAAAAAACTGTACCAGGTGAACTCATCTACTCACTATAGTCCGCTTTCACAGCCTTGTGTTTATAATCACACTCTTGCAAACTATTCTAACTCAAACTTTCAGGGAAATAAATTTGAAATAAAGACTGAAAGAGTTGTCGAAAGCTTAGTGGTGTGGTGATGTTGTCATGCAAGTGGTGTAGTTCATTGATGGCAGTAACTTTTTAAAGTAATGCATTACAAGATTAAATTATTCCCTAAAAAAGTTACTAATTGCTTTACTTAATTACTTTTTCTCATCTGTGCTGGTCTTTCTTGTATTTTAATAACAAACAAGCCATATTTTGGCAAATGTAAAGGCCCTTTCACCAATAGTGAAGTGAATAAGCCTCAGGCTGAAGTAAATGTAAATCCACGGAGATGTTGATCTCACATCACATCAGACAAATGATGATCTGGAGGTTTTTGTTCTTGTTTTAATTAAACACTGGAAGTTCCAGTATGTTTTCATAAGACTTTTATTCTGAAAAGATCAAGGAAAAATTCATCCCTCACGATATGACTTCTTTAAAGCATTATTATTTTTAATAGGACAAGACCAACTTTAATGCTGCCTTATACTGTATGTGGGATTACACATGGGATTTGAGTGCATTGCGTGTGCTTTATGTCAATGACACGAATGTGATACATTCACACAATTTAACAAGACATTTTTCATTGCAGCACCTGCTTAACAACTTCCATGTAATTACAGAGCTGCTGGGATCTGTAGGGGGTATAATCAATTTAATTATTCATAAATGAAAACCTTAATTAAACTACATATTAAGAAGCCGCATCAGTAACTGATCAATTTATAAGAAAGGACTGGCACATGCTCGTGGAAGCTTAACAGACAGTAGATGTACAAATACCTTTTAATGGCCCAACACCCGAATTCCCAACTCAAGTCTCAAGTCTAAAAGGTTCCCTTTAGGCCACAAACATGCATGTTTGCAATTGCCACAGTTAATAACTGTAACTGTTGCACAACAATCCCATTACTCAAGGGGGCAATAGAGTTGCCTTCAAATGTCTTTGCTATAAAGTCACAATAGCTATATGTTTCCATCCAAAGTTGCGTATTTAACTTCATAATATCGCATAAAACATTTGTGAATAAAGCACTGATTCCATCCAGTTCGTTGAAGAGAACAAAATCGTCACTTCCTGTTTTCATAAGATGATTCTATCTTGTCTACAAACCACGTTTTGTCACGAAAAATCACGCGATAACGGAAATGAAACAGCGCCGGACAGTTCGCAAGAAAAAGTTAGTGTAGGCCTACTCCACAGATAAAAATATAGACTTATTGATTGCCACATTATATCATAATTTAATATAATATATACCATTTAGCACCATTCATGTCACATGTTTGGCCATAGCTCTGGCAGAAGATTTTTTTTTGACAGGATTTTGATTGACAG